CTATTTATCCTGGCAACCCTCCTCAGGTGGAGCATCTTTTCTCAATGCATGCTGATGTAATCCAGCTGATGTTAAGTTGACCACCAGTTTTTAAACCATAACAGTGTGACAAAAAAGGCCTTAATTCCAGTTACCTGCAGAATTGGTCTCATCTGAGGCCTCCTTAGTATGACTTTGTTATCAGCCTTGCTACCAACATTCTAGTCATGACCACTATGACTGGTTATCCTGACCTATCCATTTCATTGGATTAAGAAACACCTAGCAGGGGTGGCCAGCAGAGGGAGAGAACCAGACAGATCCGCCTCTGCCTGCCGGCCACCACCATCACCAGAAGACTGCTTCCTGCGGGCAGCCAGCATGAGCAGAGAGAGCCAGCAGATCCTCCTCTGCCTGCCAGATGCTGCCACCAGGAAGCTGCTTCCTGCAGGCAGCTAGCAGGAGCAGGGACACAATTAAGCCCTGTGCACCTCAGCTGCAGAGGGGCAACCAACATGGGGAGAGCCTGGGACCCCATAACCAACTTGTTGGTAAGAATCCAGAAGAATGTCAAGACAAAAGAGCAAAAAGCAGTCTCAGACCTCCAGTCCACACAAAAGAAGTCTGGGAGATACAGTCATGGAAGAAAATGGAAGTCACACACCAGATATCTCTGAGTTAAAAAGTCAATCAAAAGCTGGCAAAACCACTTGAAAGAGACTGAAGATAAACTTTCAAGCCTTGAAGATAGGATTGCAGCTAACAATCATGAAAGGAAAGGTCTCCTAAAAATAACAAGGAATCAGGAAATAGCAATTCAACATCTGCAAGATAATACAAAGAAGCATAATTTAAGAGTGATAGGTATTAGTGAAGAAGCAGAGGTCAATAGAAATGAAATTAAAAGGCTATTTACAGAAGTAATAGCAGAAAACTTCCCAAACATAGGAAAAAACCCTGACATACAGGTAAATGAGGCATACAGAACTCTAACTAGCTGTAACCAAAGTAAATCTATACCCAGACATATAATAATCAAGATCCCAGAAATTCAGCACAACAACAGAATATTAAAAACTGTTAGAAAAAAGAAACACATCACCCTTAAAGAAAAACCAATCAGAATCAAGGCAGACTTGTCAATACAAACTATCAAATCAAGAAGATTTGGAGTGAAGTATTTCAAATCCTGAAAGAAAACAACTTGCAACCCAGATTGATGTACCTTGCAAAACTATCTTCCAAAATTGATGGAAAAATAAAACACTTCCATGATAACGAATAACTGAAAGAATTCATGACTACTGAACCAACCCTACAGAGAGTGCTAAAGAATATCTAGAGAGTGATAAAGATGATCATAGTTCCAGGAATAGTAGCAGAGCAGGATCACAAACAAGACAGGCAGTTGAATGAAGGGGGAAAATGGAGGGCCAATAGCAGGATAGCATGGCAGAGACAAACCAACGTATGCTGGTTGTCACCACTAATGTAGATGGCCTCAACTCAGCAATAAACAAACACAGAGAGAGTAGATCAAGAAACAAAATCCAATAATATACTGTATACAAGAAACTCATTTAACTGGAAAGGAAATTCATAGACTGAAAATCAAAGGAGAGAAACAATAGTTCCATGTAACAGGAGACCAGAAAAGTAGATCAAGAAACAAAATCCAATAATATACTGTATACAAGAAACTCATTTAACTGGAAAGGAAATTCATAGGCTGAAAATCAAAGGAGAGAAACTATAGTTCCATGTAACAGGAGACCAGAAAAAAAGCAAGGGTAACTTGCCCATCAACCACACAATGGATAAGAAAGACATGGTATTTTCATACAATGGAAAGCTACCCAGCTATAAAATAAAACAAGCTCGAGGCTCTTACAGGTAAACGGATGCAACTGGAGATCATGTTCATGGACAAAACAATTTCAACTCATACAGTGAACCCTAGCATAAAAAAAAAAAAAAAAAACAGAAGGAGCAATGGGATCCAAAAAGCAAAATAGTTACTATTAAAGTGATAGGAGAGGAAACACCTGGGAAGGAAAGGTGGTAACTACTGTTAGTTTCTTATTGTCTTGTCTCAAACTCTTGTATTGTTTTCACAATTTTGTTAGGTTTGGCTTTGTTCTGTTTTGTTTTCTTAGATTTTACTTTGATGGTATGGGCAGCTGTTTTGAACATAAAGGAACGTGTAATGGTAATCACGGTTGCTTCCCTATTTTCTTGGTTTTTTTTTTTTTTTGTGTGTGTGTGTGTGTCTTTTTTTTTTTTCCATCGGTACTGGGGATCGAACTCACGACCACACACTTGCAAGGCAGGCGCTTATGGTGCTGAGCTAAATCCCCAGCCTGGTTTCCTATTATCTTGTTTTGAAGTCTTTTAGTGTTTTCATTTGTTGGTTTAATTGGTTTTATTGTTTTGTTTTGATTTTACTATATGTGATGGTATGAACAGCTATTTTGAAGAAAACAAGACATTATGGTAGCTATTGCTGATTTCCTATCACCTTGTTTTAAAGTCCTATTATGTTTTTTATTCTTTTGTTTAATTGGTTCTATTCTGTTGTGTTTGATACTGTGTGTCAACTTTATGAAGAAAATGAGATATTATAGTAGTCATTGTTCATTTCTTGTTACCTGGTTTTGAAGTCCTGTACTGCTTTAATTCTTTTGATTGATTTTATACTATTTTGTTATGTTTGATATTATTATGTGTGAAAGTATGGTCAACTATTTCAAAGAAAACAAGAGATATGATGGTAGCCACTGTTGATATCCTGTTGTCTTGTTTTGAAGTCCTGTGTTGTTTGCATTGTTCTGTTCTAATTTGCTTTGTTCTGTTTTGTTTTATTCTCTTTAAAATAAAAATATTAAAGAAAGAGAGAAAGACCTAGCAGATTAGTAGAGCACAGTCCTGTGTGTATCTGATTGGATTAGGGAGTTGTGGCTTGTTTACTACATATGGTCCCTGTCCCATTCCTCTCTAGTATTCTTCCCCTGCTTTGCTCCCTGGCTGCCATGAAGTAAGCAACTTTACCACATCTTTCCCCCATGATACTCCTGCCTCAAAACACGAGCTAAAGCAAACATTTCCTCCTCTAAATTGTATGTGTCAGGCATTGTGTATCAGTTATAAAAAAGCTAACACAATCACTTAACCAAACTCTACAAAGTTCTAACTTCTTCCTGGTGTCTTTGTCATTTGATCCCTCATCAGAGTCACCTATAAAGCTCATTTTATAGCAATACAGAATTTTCTAAGCAATTCCTTCAAACTCCTCCAACTTTTGGCTAGTATCCAGCTCCTAAGCCACTTTTACATTCTCAAGTATCATTGTAGCAACAACCCTACTCTTGATACCAATTTTCTGTCTCAGTATGTGCTATGATACTATAACAAAATAACCAACAGTGCTTAATATAGAAAGCAAATAGATTTATTTACTCAAAGTTTTGAAGTTTGGAAACCCATCGTTAGATAGCTCTCTTTGGTCTCCCTCTGGTTGAGGGCCTTTTAGCTATGTAACAACATTGCAATGCAAAGCAAGAGCACTCATGAGAAAAGTCACATGACTTTCTCATAATAGAGGAAGCAAGAGACTGGATTGGGATCAGACTCACTCTTTTGTAACAACTCACTCTCATTCTCCAGGGAATTAGTGCATTCCCCCTGAGACCTAATCCCTTCACCAAGACCAACATGACCCTGTCACCTTCCACTAGACTCCACCTCTCCACTGCTCTTCCACACTGTGAGTCAAGGTTTCAGCACAAGAACCTTTGGCAGAAAGGCATTAGTAAAATGGCCCTCTCTCTGCCTGACCTCAGAAGTTGACATTAAACATGTAGATCCAATGTGGATGGGGTAAGAGGACTCTGAGACTGTTGAGGGTTTTTGTTTGGTTGGTTTTTTGTGAGTTTTTGGTTTGGGGGAGGGTTTTTTGGTGGGGGAGTTGTTTGTTTTGTTTTCCTTGTTTGTTTTTAGTGGAAACTAGCTCAATCTTGCCAAATTCTGCAGAGGCAGAACGTGAAACAGTGCACGCGAAAGTGCAAGAGAAGTGGGAGCTTTTGGAAATGACGTTAACATTAGGGGAACTGTCAGCCTGAATGGACACCTCCCTGTATAGCAAGGCACAAAGAGCAACAGGGCTACCTAAAGGCAGCAAAAGACAGAGATCAGCCTTGTTATAGGCAGAAAGTAAGCCTAATTTACCATAAACAATTATTATAACACAATCTAATTTATCTAGATAGCATCACTGTGTGAAGGAAACCCCAGCATCATTATTTGAAGAAAAAAAAACCCAACCACGACATTGGTAAAGTTTTGTCATATCCTACTGAAAGAAAAGCAAAGATAAGTGCCTGCCTGGCAAGCATGAGGTCATGAATTCAACCCCTGGTACAAAAAAAAAGCAAAGATGATAGAATAGATAGGTAGATAGATAGATAGATAGATAGATAGATAGATAGATGATAGATTTCCACAATGCTGCAAAGTTCTCACTGAAATCAAACATACAGACAAATGTTCTTATTTTAAATTGCTTGATAATATTAATGATAATCTTTTTAAAAAATCAAAATTCAAATAAGGTCCATTATTTCCAAAGTACAGATGTGCTTTCTTTTTTAACATTAGGTCTGAAATACAATTTACATAGCATAAGTTCACCCATTTGAGAGTATACTTCAAAGGTTTTTAGTTTGTGAAAAGAGTTCACCATTCAATTCCCCTTTTCCCCAACCTAACAACATCATCCTTGCATATCTACCACTCTGCTCTCTGTGCTTGTGAAAAGGCTTATTGTGGCCATGTCATATGAATGAGATCATGAGGCAGCCCCAGAGCAGGGAGGGTGACAGGCAGGAAGCAGGTACAGCCAGTGTTTGTAGATTAAGGTCTCTTGGCAAGGCTGATTGAGAATGGCAAGGAAGTGACAATATTCACAGTGTGGGAAGCAGCTGAATGGGCAGACCCAACCCTGATGTGCATCTCTCTGCCCACAGCCCAGGACTCTGCCAGCCCCATCCGGACCACACATGTGGGACAAGTGAGAGGCAGCCTCATCCATGTGAAGGGCACTAACTTGAGGGTTCACACCTTCCTGGGAATTCCCTTTGCCAAGCCACCTGTAGGAACACTGCGATTTGCACCCCCTGAGGACCCTGAGCCCTGGAATGGTGTGAGGAATGCGATCTCCTACCCTTCCATGTAAGCTTTCTGGAAAACTGGGGAAATTCAGGCCCTGGGGAGGGACTGGGTGCTCTGAGCTCTAGACCAAGTTCCAGTGATTCTTACACCTACACCTACAGCCAGTTTTCATCTGCATTAGGGGACTTCCCACAGTAGAGATGCTAAGGCTCAGAGATTCAACTATCTCATGCCTAAGAGACCAAGAGAAACTATGCCAGGATCTACTCAGGGAATCACCATCCAGAGGGCATTAGCTCCAAGTGCTGAAGAGTAGAGCAGAGACATATTTATCCCCACATTTAGATTATGCCATAGATGGAATGTCTCCAGGAGAGGTTTAGGTTGACTCTAGGAATGTGTAAGAGCCCCTAACTCCAGCATCAAATACTGCAGATTCCTGAGGAGCAGTGGTGGCTTCTCGGGAACCCTATCTTCTACAATCTCTGTGCCAACTGACAGGGCGGTGTCATTGCCAAAGAAGTGTGGCTAAGCTAATGAACAGATTCTGTGCAAGTGATAAGTTTCCCCAAGCAACTGCTATATGTATCTATGAGAAACTAAGCTCTATTCATTCATGAAGCACCTATGTGGAAATTTCTCTTATGTCCCAGGCCCAAATGGTTGCAGGGGTCAATGGTGAATGTTAATGTCTACAGCCAATGGATTCCATAGAGACTCCTGAGTCAGTACTAGCCAGGCTTGGGAAAGAAAGAGCCCCAAGGCTGAAGCCTCCCCAGAAGTCTAAACTTTATCCCCACCTCCTCAGAGTATGAAGCCTGTTATTCTATGGGCAGAAACTTAAGGGAATAATTCTATATAAGCAGGTCATCAGGGAAAGCAGGGAATGAGGATGGACGCGCACAAATCTGGATCCAGTGTCTGATTTTGCCATTGGCTGACCATATGCTGTGGTTGGCCACCAGGTGTCTGCAGGACATCACTGCAATGAATACCCAGGCTCTGAAGTTATTGAATCTGACCATGCCTCCCATCCCTGTGTCTGAAGACTGCCTGTACCTCAACATCTACACACCTGCGTATGTCCATGAAGGCTCAAACTTGCCTGTGAGTGTCAAGCTGTGGTCAGCTGAGAGTGGAAGAAAATTTGTTCTACTATTAAAGGGCTAAGATTAGCTTCAGCTATGCTACTGTGTGAATCCTCATGAAGAGCCATTGGGTCCCAGAAGTCATTCTCACCCAGCTGGCGTCTGGCCCCTTGGCTTAGGAGTGCTGAGCCCTGGCTGCTCCCAGAAGTCAGAGGTTGTGACCATGGGGTGTACCCAGGATCCATTCAACTATCTCACGCCTAGACCAAGTTAGAATCCAAGGGCTGCATTATGAGGTCATCAAGATCACAGCTATTGGTTATCTGTTGGCCAAAGGACCATGGAGATATTTGATTAATGTTCCTGTGGAACTTTTGGGGAGATACTCTTTTTTTCCCATGTCAAAGGGGTTCTGGGAGTAATGATATATAGAGCCAATTCCAATGATGAAAGGCTTTCTTTTCCTGACTGAATATGAATCACTTACCAATGGCTGAAATCACCTGCTGGGGTTCTGTTTGTGTGGCTAGCTGTACAAGTAAAATCAGCAGGTAGTCTACAGGTAGCCTAGGTGGGACTTGGGCTGGGTAGGAAGCACATGGCATCTGTTTTGCTCTCCCAGGTGATGGTATGGATCCACGGTGGTGCACTAGTTATAGGCACGGCCTCCATGTATGATGGATCCACACTGGCAGCTATTGGCAACGTTGTGGTGGTCACTATTCAGTACCGCCTTGGTGTCCTGGGCTTCTTCAGGTGAGCCTGGGGCTGGGATGGGAAATGGAAACTTGGCAGAGTCAGGTCAGGTAAATGATCCCTGTCCCTGCCACTTTTCAGCACTGGAGACCAACATGCCACTGGCAATTGGGGCTACCTGGACCAAGTGGCTGCCCTACGCTGGGTACAGCAGAATGTCGCCCACTTTGGAGGCAACCCTGACCGTGTCACCATTTTTGGCACATCAGCAGGTGGCACAAGTGTGTCCTCACATGTTGTGTCCCCCATGTCCCGAGGACTCTTCCATGGTGCCATCATGGAGAGTGGGGTGGTTCTATTGCCCAGCCTCATCTCCAGTTCACCTAAGGTCATCTCCACAGTGAGTGCCCTCAAACACCCCAGCCCAGGCTACCCCCTCTCCTCTCACCTTCTGAGCTTCTGGTGCTCTGTCTATTCAGTGGGAGCAACCAGGACAAACCAGGTTTCTTGGAAATTTCTGCCTTTCGGGGAATTACTGAGGGGCTCGATGGTCAGAACCTACAAGCCTCTGCCTCACAGAACAAAAGATAAGTATGTTCTGTGGCCAGAAAAGCTACAGCCTAGAGCCTCCATCATGGGTAAAACCATGTACGTATATGAGATGGCTCCTCTGACTGAGACCTCTGAGTGCCAGAGAAGTTGAAACTATTCCACACCTACAGAAATCAGTGTACCCCCATGAGATTACAGAATACTTGCATGCAACTGAAACCTTGGACACACTCCTTTTCCTGAAAAGATGAGCCAGCTCTCACTTGCCTCTTTACAGGTGGTGGCCAACTTGTCTGCCTGTGGGGAAGTGGATTCAGAGGCCCTGGTGAGGTGCCTGCGGGGAAAGAGTGAAGAGGAGATACTGGCTGTTACTAAGGTAGAGATGAATGGTAATGAGTGTGGTGGAATGGGGATGATAGAGTGGGGGACAGTAAGATCTGTGTGCCATGCATCTCCCTGGGACAGTTTCTCCCTTGGTGTCCCAGAATACTGAATTGGAAATAGAGATTAATGTGCTAAGCCTAGAGTAGGATCCTGGGGTTAGTGCAAACTTTCTGGGATGGACAAGGAAAAAGTAGAAGGCTCCCAGCAGACATCAAGAGTGCCTAAAAGCAGACTTTGATCTCTAACTTCCCTTCTTCAGGCCTTCAAGATCATCCCTGCTGTAGTGGATGGAGCCTTCCTGCCCACGCACCCCCAAGAGCTGCTGGCCTCTGCTGATTTTCAACCTGTCCCCAGCATCATTGGTGTCAACAATGATGAATATGGCTTTCTCATTCCCTTGGTGAGACCCAGTCCCAAGTCTCTGGTGTCAGGGGAGCCTATATAAGAGCTCTGGGTCAATCTGAACTACAGCACAAACTCATTCCCTGCCATCCAGATTGCGGCACCCACTGATACACAAAAGGAAATTGACAGAGAAACTGTGAGGAATGCTCTGCAGAGAAGATTAACACAAATGGTGAGGCTCCTGGGATACTACAAAAACTGAAAGGGAACACACACAGATATCCTGCCCACACATGAACAAAGGGCTGGGGGTGATCACTCCAGAGCTAAACCAGTTCTGCTATTCCTAGTTCTAACCCAAGCTCCATCCTCCTATCCTAAGATTATTATTTCCTTGCCTTTGACCTTACCTAACCTGACTATCTGATAACTCTGAGCTAGATGTTACCTGCTGGGTTTGGTGACCTATTGATGGAAGAATACATGAGTGACAATGAGGACCCCCAGATCCTCCGAGCCCAATTCCAGGACATGATGGAGGACTTCATATTTGTGTTCCCTGCACTCCAAGTAGCACTTTTTCAATGTGAGTATATCTGTAACTAAGACCAGACTGCCTTGGAGGCAGCTGAATGATAGATCTCCAGTGATATCTGAGGTGTCCAGTTCCCTACCCATGTGTCCTTCTGGTACCCAAAAGATGATGACCTTCAGGTCACTAAATTTTCATGGATAACATTAATAGATGAAGAAACACGTTAGTGTTACAATGATTTTCCAAAAACCACAGTTAGGAAGGCCACAGCCATAACTTAACCAAGATCTTCCTTTGGCCCTGTTCCAGCCTAAAGCTCCCCACTTCAATTTCCAGACTCCAGCAAGCTTCAAATCTAGCTATCTTGTCACCAAAGGTGAGGCACAAAAGCTCAGGTAAGGAGTCACCATGTTGCAACTTGTGTCTGCCCTCAGGTTCCCATGCCCCTGTTTACCTCTATGAGTTCCAGCATCGACCCAACTTTTTCAAAGATATCAAACCACCCCATGTAAAGGCAGACCATGGTGATGAGACTCTCTTTGTCTTCAGATCCTTTTTCTCAGACTATCAAGGTAAGACTTTCTTACTCTCCAACAGTGGAGATGGATTTCTGAATGGGTCCCTTAAAAGCAACTGCCCTCATTGTCTACATCATTGGTGGCAACCTATGGCATGAATGTTATTTGTTTTTCTTTTAAGAAATGTATATATGAGTTGCTTTTTCTAAACTAAAACATCAGTACTCAGGTTTAATTTCAGGGTTGACCCTTGGTGAATTGTAAGTGGGTTTTGGGTCACAGTTTGGGCATTCATCCCTAAGAGATTCAACATCACTGGTCTAGATAATAAAATTGAGGCTCATGGAGGATGGGATCAGTGTCCACCATCTTGCAGTTCAAAAATCTGTTTTGAGATTTAAACCCAAGCCCTTCAACTCCATCTTGTGCTCCCTCCACCTGCCCCTATTCTGACCGTAGCAATAGCATGGGTGCATGGAGAGAGAGTGTGTTTAAAAGGCATAATTGTTTCTTAAATAATTTCCCAGTGACAGAAAAAACAAGGTGCCTTGTGGAACCAGCCCAAAGTTGACTCAGCTAGAGGTTGGGATGAGTAAGGGAAGATTGGCCAAGGAGATGGCTTAGTTCCTAAGAAGGGATGGGGAGAGAAGGAATCAGGCCTAAGGTCCAGGGTCAGGCTGCAGCTGGGTGGTGAAGAGGAAACATGAATGGGCAGTGGGATGGTGACTGAGCAAGATCTAGGTTGCTGTCTTCTTCCTCTCTGCAGTTGACCTCACTGAGGAGGAGGAGCTGCTCAGCAGTAGAATGATGAAGTATTGGGCCAACTTTGCACGAAATGGGTGAGACAATACACCTACCTCAACCTCTCTAGAGCATCTGAACCCATCAGGGGCTCCTCTCGTCTGTGGTGACCTCACTGGCATACATGTGCCTTTAATCACATGATAATAACCTCTCAACTCCAAGTCCTACATGGACATGGACAGAGAAGGAACTTGTGGGTACCACTCATTTATCCCTCTCCCAATGACCTAAAAGATGGGCCACAGTGCTGTTTTTCAGTCACATGTTGTCTCTGAGAGGGAGAGAGAAAGTAGGCACTTGCCCTAGGGGTGGACATTGGTGTGAGGCCCTTGCTTTCCTATATAATGAAACCTCATCATTACCCAGGGTCCCCTGACCAGCTTGGCATCCCAATCTGACCCAAATCAGGCCAGTGAGGTCTCAGAACAGCAGAGCTCAGCCTGATCTACTCCCATACTGGGAGGGCATGCCCACAGGAACCCCAATGGTAAGGACCTACCCCAGTGGCCTGTGTTTGACCATGAGGAGCTGTACCTGCAGCTGGACATCCAGCCTGCTGTGGGCCGTGCCCTGAAGGCCTCCAGGATGAAGTTCTGGAGGGAGATCCTTCCACAGAAGATCCAGGAGCTAAAGGAGGCTGAGGAAAAGCACACAGAGCTGTAAGCTCCTGTGTAAGAAGGTAGAGTGAGTTTGAGTACAAGTGGGATCTGCCTAGTGCCACACACTACCAGGACCCCAGGTTGATTGCAGTCACAGAGCTACTCAGTCACTCTTCATTCATCCGTTTGGTCAAAACGTAGGAAAAAACCTTGCATAATATTTACTGCCAAGCCTGCTGTGGCTCCCCCTTCTTACACATACTCAGTACACTCCCCAGGAAGCTGTGGATGGGTGAGCTCCAGTGGACACCCACCTTCCTCCACACCCCAGAGAGGCCTATTCTCTCCATCTCTGTCTCTCTTTCCCCTCTCAGATCCACACTCCCTCCACACTGAAAAACACACTTTCACAAGTGTTACCTCTGTGTCAGATCCCACATCCACCTGTCAGCAAGTTCTCCATGTTCTCAGATTTGTACAAGGTACAATAGAAAACATGGATAAAAGAAGCCCCGGTATCTTAGTCTCTTTAGGATGTAGTAACAAAAGTACTATAATCTGCTTGACTTACACATCACAAAAATTGATTGCTGACAGTTCTAGAGTTTAGAAAATCCAGGATCAAGGAGTCGGCTAGTTTGGTATCTGGCTAGGACTTGTTTTCTTGTTCAGATTTATTCTCTGGTTCATACTTGGCACTTTTTCCCTTGTGCTCGTATCAAAGAAGGGACAAAAAACTTTCACAGGCCAAATTTTCAAAAGCATTATATTAATCTCTCTCTTTGCTAGAATAAAGACCAAAATGTAGTATTTACAAAGTGAAGAATTACTTGCCAGGGATTTAGCTCAGTGGCATAAGCATCTGCCTTACAAAGTGAAGAATTTTATTTAGCTCACAGTTTTGAAGTTTGAAAGACCAAGACTGGGTTCTGCCATCTGTTTGCCCTAGACTGCCTCACAGCACAGCAGTAACGCCAAGTGTAGAAGGAGAAAGCTCATGGGATGGCCTTGCCTCATAACAATCCACACCTGTGTATCCCATGAGAAGGGCATTAAACCCTGTCAACAGTAATGACACCAACAACATCATTAACTCCCAATAGGCCTCAGCTCCTGAAGATTCAGCCACCTACCACCATAATACTGAAAATCCAGCTTCTAGTACATAAACCGTTAGGATCAAATACCATTCGTGCCATAGCAGGCATAAATCCCAATCTACCATTGGCATTAGGAATCCATACATTCATCTAAGTTCCAAAAGATAACTGGCTCCATTCTGTGAGAATCAGGACTAAACATGTCCATTGGCCCCTGGAACCTGAACCAGTAAGGATATGGTTCCTCAGCAATCTGTCTCCTGATGTTTATCCCTAAACTGTGGTCTACATGGTCATTACACAAGTGTTGATCTGTGAGATCTCAGAAGTGGGATTGAAAAGTTAGGAAGATACAAACACATCTACAGAAGATAGTCCTGTCCCTGCCTCCCTGCAGGCTTTGCCACCAGGGAGGTATCTCCCTGCCTTTCAGAATTTCCCTAACAACCTCCTGAGTCCCTGACCACCCCCACTGACCATGGTGTCCAACAATTCATATTCCTTCTCATCTCATTGTTGCTCCTAAACTTTTCTCCCTCCCCTCCCCTTAAAAAAACTTGTCATATTTTTTCTCATTTTACATTGTACTCAATTTGTCTCTGTTTTCCCAAAGAGTTTTTCTGTCTGTTATTAAGGAGCTGTATCTTTGGTCCTAGAGACCCTAAGATTCCCTGCATTCCCTGATTGGCCAATTTGCCCTCCTGGAGTACCAGTTTTCCCAGAGGGATGACCTTCCTCCATTTCATCCACTGCATAGTCTGATCAACAAAATCCCCAGGGCCTTCCAATGATGGTACGCTGGTGGCAAAGGACATAGGGTATGGTTTCAACCACATCCTTGAAGTGTTTATCAAGTTCCTGCAGCAAGCACGTCTCTGTTTTCAGTTCTTTAGATGCACTGTATTTCCTCAGAGTGGGTTTCAGGAATATTTCATAAGCATTCAATAATAATTATTTTTCAGTACTGAGCTATCATGCACACTAGACAAGTGCTCTGCCTCTGAGGCACACCCCAGCCCACTGTGGAATAATTTACACACAATTAATCTCTTTTAGATTTATCATTTAATAACTCTGAGTAAATGTATAAGACATGCAACCACTGCCATATCAACTTTTAGAGTATCTCACTCCAAAAACTTCCCCCATACCCCTTTGCAGCCCTTCATGGCCCTCTACCATTTTCCCTGGCAACCACTTAGCTCATTTTTGTTATACTTTATTTTTTCTACATCATAATATAAAAGGAATCTTTTGTGATTTGCTCACTCCCTTTGCATAATGTTTTTAAGATTAAAGTGATATTTCCTTTTACTCCAGAGTGGCATTCCATGTAAGGCTATACCACATGTATCTACCCTCCCGCTGATGCACATCTGAGTAACTTCCATGTTTGGTTTTGTTTTTTGTTTATTTGGGGTGTTTTTTTCTTTTTTTATTACTGGAGAATAAACCCAGGGCCACTGTACTGAGCTACATTGCCAGTTCTTTTTGTTTTCTGTTTTGACCCAGGGTTTTGATAAGTCCCCCAGACTGAGTTTGAACTTGTGATTCTGCTGCTTCAGCCTCCCAGAGTGCTGGAACTACAAGTGTGCACTACCATACACAAATCTCGGCTACTCTTAATAAAGCTTTCCTGAATATTTCCAAACATATCTTTGTGTGGACACATGCTTCTATTTCTTTGAGGTAAAGATCTAAGAAGGCAATTGCTGAGTTACATGACATACATGTGTATCTTTTAAGGAAAATGCCAAACTATCTTCCAAAATGATATCTGATTTGCATCCCCACCAGCCATGTATGAGGGTGAGTTACTCCATACTTCCAACAAGACTTGGACTTACGGGTCTTAAATAAATGCCATTGAATGTGTGTGTAATCAAATCTTTTTACAGATGTTTCCCTGTAATTTTAAACTCTGCTTTCATCATTTTATGGAGATGGATAGCTAGATAAATAGAAAGATACACACATACACACAGATATGTTCCTGAGACTCTCCTTTCCTTTATCCTAAGTTTTTACTGTTAACTCAGTCAACAAAAGTGCCAGGGGTCCCCTAAGGGCAGTACAGTAGTGGCACAGCACAAGAGGCCATTCATCCACCCCAGCAGTAGTGGGCAGCAGCCCGGGATTAGGAAAAAGCACTGTATTGTCCAGTTAACATAAAGAGTTTGCACCATGAGCCTGAGCTGGAAGCAACTGGAGATCTCACAGCACCAACAACCTAGAAATTGATCAGGTCACAAAAATTAGAGGAAGACAAAGCATCTGCCCTTGCAGGGGCTGGGACCATGAGGTGAGCCACAGTGCCTTGGGTGACGGACACTGAGTCATCGACAGGACTTGCTCATTGGATGAAGGTGAAGGAGGGCACGGGTATCAGCATTGCAGGCCACTCAGACACAGATAAATGCTCATTGCTGCTTCCCAGGCCTGAGAAAGGAACTGGACAGCACTGAGCTGTGAGACCTTTCAGGGCACAGAGAGGTCAGGGCCATTTTCAGAGGCACCAAGGCCATCTTGAATGAGCCTGACACCTACTGCTCTGGGTAGTCAGGCTGGACAGGTACCTCTAGACCCAGGCTATTTCCTTCCACCCCCGCAGGGCTCAGGATACCTCAGAATCCCTCTTGACCACTCTCCCTTCCCTGGGAACTGAAAGCCTGGGAATTGGCTGTCAGTTGCCCAGCACCAGGCCAGCACACTTTCAATTCATGCTTCTCCAGTTAATAATTGACTATGAACTGGATCTTAGCCATGAGGTAAAGGGGCAGCCTACAGAAAGGCCACAGTCACATGTGTGTTTTCAAAGGGAGGCACCATAAAAGGATCTCAGACCATGGGCAATGGAGACAAGAGATTTGAAAGGGCAGAAGGAAAGGAGGAGCCATCAAGATGAAGGACATTGTGACAGTACCAGCCTTTGCCCAAGCACTTCCCTTCACTTCCATCAAAGATCAAATTCCATCTGGGCATGGTGAGGCACTAACCTATAATCCTAGCACTTGGGAGGCTGAGGCAAGAAGATTACTGTGAGTTCAAGGCCAGCCTAAAACTATATAGGGAGACTCTTTCCAAAAAGAAAAGAATAAAAGAAAAGGAAAGGAGAGGGAAGGGAAAGAAAGGAAGGGAAGGGAAGGGAAGGGAAGGGAAGGGAAGGGAAGGGAAGGGAAGGGAAGGGAAGGGAAGGGAAGGGAAAGGAAAAAGAAAAAGAAAAGGAAAGAAAAAGATCAATTCCATCTATGGGAATCCTTTTGCATCTCCTAGATTCGCTAATTACAGCCTCTTGTCCTCTTGACCCCCAACAGTTTTCTCCAACTTGTGACTGCAACTTTGAGGAAACATTTCCTGATATCTTGCAGGGACTTCAGAAGTCACTCAGTGCCTTAGGATGAGGCTAAAGAAGTTAGGGCAGCAGGGAAGCAAGCAGGCATGTCCTGCTTGCCTAGCTCCAGGCAGCCCCTGCCAGTCTACTGTGGGTCTGTTGCAGCACACACTGTTCCCAGTCTTGCCCAATCCCTGCTTCTAGGATCCAAACTCCAGCTTGGGCAAGGTCCTGGTGAAAGACTGCCTACAAGTTAAAGAGGCAGTGTAGAAACAGTCATGGGAGCAGACCATAAGGCTGAACCAATTTATTGCACTGCTGAATGTGATAGCCTGGGGGCTCTTGCTTCTCCTTGCCCAAGGCCAGGGTAAGATTCAGAGGCTAACAGAGATCTGGGTCACACCTGTCAGAGGCAAAGCCTGAGATTGCAGGAGGGAAGGACAACAGAGGGAGGAGCTGGGGGAGATGAAAGATGATAGTGTGGGAAATATGAGCTCATTCAGCAACCTCACTCATGCCAGACACCTGAGGTAGGGACTTGAAACCTAGAGAGGGTCAGGGCTGCCAGAAGACCCCCAACATGGAGTCCACAGCCAAGAAACAAGAACTATGAGACTGGACAGGTAAACAGCTTGGACCAGGGCAGGTGGGGATGACATTTGGAAACTTTTCCTCCTATGTTTGTGACTGGAACTGGCCCTCCCCATAAATAATAACCACAATACCTTCACACTGTCATTTGTCACACCCTTGGCCAGCAGGGTGCATTGACATTTTCCAAAGAGAAACTAGGCAAGGTTACTGGCCCTTGGGGATGACAGAAGCCCTTGACACCACGTTCCAAGGCTGAACTGACAAGCCACTGGGTTTCTTTCACCCCATATATCCAACCTGGAACAAGGGGATGGCTTGGTTTCCAGGGCAAAGATGCTTTGCTCTGGGCCTGCTGGGTACTCTGGCAGCTCAGGCCAGGCAGACACCAAGCCTGGTTGTACCCTTGGCCCTTTTTTTTTTTTTTTTTTTTTTTTTTTTAATTTTTATTTAAGGAGAAAAGAAAAGAAAAAAAAACAGTGAAGGGTACAAGTTATACAGATTTACAGAAGAAAAAAATGCGCAGTAGGAAATCACTAGTTAATAGATTACATATTGCCATCTTAGAAATAATTGTTCAAGTCACAGAATTAAAGTTTGTAGAGTGGACATTCCAGCAATGATACTGCAAACAGTTCTGTTCAATGATCCATTAGAACTCTGTGATATCATTTTCTGTCTTATACATTTAAATATACATGCAGTTATATAGTTTAGAGCATTTTCTTTTCCTCTCTTTTGTACAGTGACTATTACACATTTTGGGTTTCATTGCTCCCACTGTTCTTATTGCTTTTTTGGAAGAGAGTAAAACCAAATGTGACATAACAGAACAGAATCGGTCAAGTCAAAAGGGTGGATATAATAGATAATATAAAAACATAATACAAGGTGATCAACAATGGTTACCCTAATGCCTCCCGCTATTTCTAATAGAATTGCCTATATCATTAGTTGTAATACTATTGAACAAAACCATAAAGGATAAAACCGACAAAACCAAAACATTGGAGATATTGTAGGTCTTCAAAAGTAGATAGAAGTCAACGAGAATGGGCGTTATAATGAATCTCATTATCTTCTCAGCTGATGCCTAAACTTTCGAACCTGATACTATTCAGCAAAACAGAATAGAGGAACCTCAGTCAAAAACAAGATGGTGAGAGTAATACAGGGCTTCAAATCGAGAAAATAGAAAGTCAAAGTGGGTTACTATATTATATCCTGCTATATTTTTCCCTTTAATTAAATGGATAACAATAAAAAAGTATATAATGGAGTGGAGATTGAGAAAAAGAAAAAGAGGGCATAACAGCGAAACAGGGCAGATCAAAACATAACCTTTTAAGCAGAATAGTGTTTCACCACCAGATATTTCCGACTTAAAAATAGTTACCATATTGACTCCCTCCCTGAAGTCCTTGAGTACAACTTCATATACTGTAGCATTAAGTATATCAAAACAATGTAAAACCATTTAAGAGAATGACAGCATTATAGAGTATTTGGAATTGACTAACAGAAAATGAACAATGTTCTCTGTATAATCTCCTTGTCTTTAAAAGGTTTTTGCTTATACTAACGTACATAACAAAATCCAATAAGATACAACCTGGTTAGACCATTGGAGACAGAAGAACAAAAGCTAGATGAGACTTCAAAACAAGATGGTACTGAATCAGCATTACCTATTAAGATGTCATTTTCTCAAAAATAGCTGTTCCTATCATCCAATCTTCTCTGTCTCATTTCTGTTGAGCTCTTTTTCTGTCAGTAGCTGTCAGTTTGTCTTCTTCATTTTGTTCTCTGCTCCATTCGTTGTGGCCTCCCTGCCACTATTTCTGGGTTCTTTGTATTTTTCTTTTTTTAGAATATCCTGCAATACTTTCTGTAGAGTTGAATTGGTGGTTGCAAATTCCCCCAGTTCCTCTTTATCCTGGAAGCACCTCGTTTTTCCATCAATTTCCAGGGACAGTTGTGCAGGATATCTCAATCTTGGCTGGAGATTATTATCTTTCAAAGCTTGAATTATTTCCCCCCATGCTCTTCGTGATTTGATGGTTTGTGAAGAGAAATCTGCTGTAATTCTGATGGGTGTTCCTTTGTAAGTGATCTGTTTCTTGTCTCTTACAGCTTTTAATATTCTGTTCTTGTATTGAATTTCTGGGATTTTTATTATTATATGCCTGGGTGTTTCTCTGTTAGGGTTGTAGGTAGCTGGGGTCCTGTATGCCTCATACAGCTGAGTATCTTTACCTTTTGCTAAATTAGGAAAATTCTCCTGGATTATTTCTGTGAGTAGCTTTTGTAATTCACTTGTTTGTGTCCCTACTTCTTCTTCTATGTTCTTAATCCTTAAGTGGTGGCTCCTCTTATCATCTTCTTGTCTTTGTATTATTGCTGTTTGTTTCTTTGTTATTTTTAAGAAGTTTTTCATTTCATTCTCCCATATTTCAAGTCTGCCCTCCAGTTCAGATAGTCTGTCCTTAGTTTCTTTCAAGCTGTTATGCCAGTCTTGTATAGACTTATTAATTTCTTGATAGTCCCTTTGAACCTGCTTCACATACTCAATGCTTTCTCTGTTTTCTCCATCAAGCAATTCTCCCCTCTTTTTCTGTTCTTCCATTCCACCATCTGTTTTTTCCTGGGTGGTGTTTAGCATTTCTCTAACTATTCTGCATACTTCTAGCTTCAGATCATTGATAACTTCATTCCTGAATTGGTCTATGAG